TGTATTGTTTTATGTTATGTGAGTGTATAAGTTAATAATCGTTGTCTGCGATGATGATGATGATGATGCGCCGCGTTTAAGGTGGCGGCGTCGACTAGCTCGCGGATTTGTCCGGCCGGCGGTGGATATCGTTTAGCGGCGCGCGCGACGTATGGCAGGGAGAGAGGTCGCGCCGCCAAAAGGGATGGTCTGATTGTCCTGCGAGCAGGCCTCCTTCTCTTCCGCTGCTGCGCGCGCCCAAGTTAAGCGTCGTGTGCTGGGCGCGCGCGCTTTCGGTGGGGCAAAATCGATCTCGAAACCGTCCTGCTACCTGCCCAAGGCGTTTCTTCTGGCGCGAGGCCAACACACACACACAAATCTACTTTCGCACGTTGCATGTGTTTAACTTAAACCAGGCTGCGCGCGTGATTTTGATACTTCCAAAGCTTTTGTGTGTATAACTAAAGGTATTGACATTATTTGTTTAAAGCGATGCTGCGATTGGACACAAGATGCACATGTGTATGCAAAGCCTTTTTATTGGAAAAGTTTTTACAGTTTTAGAAGGAAGAGTTTTATTTAATTGCAGCTGGAAAATTTAAATTGAATTTGTTTTAGTGTTATGGGATTGTTTTGTTACATTTAGAGCGTTTGGGCAGAGAAATCGCGAAGGGTGACTTAGGTGGTTGGCGCACTGAGGAGTGATTGGACGACGCCGCGCGCAGAGGGTGAGATTAATCCCATTGGTTGCTGTTGTCGTGCTTTTTGCTCGTTCATTGGGCAACCCCCACCAATTGTTATGATTTCTGATTCTCACCCCCTGTACTAGTAATCTAAAAATAAAAAAAATACACCGAATACATAAAAAACACACTTTACAACTTAGTTTTTATAGTTTTATATAAAAACAAAACGTTTTTACTTAAAAATTTTTAAGGGTTGGTAATTTTTGTATTTATGATGGTAAAATCCGCAGTTAACATTTATTACTCGACGATGGCGGCGCAGCATAGCTCAGGACACATCCAGGTCGCCGTCGTCGGTGGCGGCAGGAGAGGAGGGTGCGGGCGGCTGCTGCCTGGCGCCGCCGCCGCCGCCGTGTCGGCTGATCAATAGTGTGTGCCCAGGCGATCGGGGTTCAAATGCCGCAACAGCAAGTGAGCAACCTCGACACTAAACTCGGCTCACGGCGACGGCAGCGGTGGCGGTGGTGGCGGCACAGCTGACCCTAGCTTGCCGTACACACCCAACTGGAAAATACCAAAAAGATTTTGTTTTACGTCCTTAAAAAATAAAAATAGAAAAATAAAATCACAAGAAAAATAAAAAAGAATGAATGAGTTGTTTGGTGAAAGAGATAAATGTCATTTATGCCATAAATTGGTCACATTTGAATATGAACGTATTATCACAAACAATTTCCCCCCAGCTGCGGGTTTTTATCAAGAGTAGAACAGAGTAAACATCTAAATCAACTTTTCGTCGTAAAAAAATGCAAAAAAAAAAACACAACCACGCAATGTTATTTTGTATTTTTTCTGGGTTGTTTGTTTCGAATGCGTCCTTTTCTCTCCCCTCATGCGTGTGTAGTGGGTTGCCGAGTGGAGTGCGTACGAGGGGTTGATGATGTCAGCACGTGCGTGCCGCGTACACGTCCCGCGGACGTGCGGCCCCGCCGAAAAAGGCAGAGGCAGAGGCAGACACTGACGCGTGTCAAACGCTGCCGCACAGGTTGGAGTGCGCTGCCGCTGCGCCGCCACCACCGCTATCGAACAATACCTCGTCGATGCGTTAATAAGCGGCGACGTCAAACGCAGGCGGCGCGAACCATGCGAGAACCACCTTCGCCTACCTCTTTGCCACCCGCGGTGCGACGAGCAAACAAAATCACGGCCGGAGCGCACCGCAGCGATCCCTCCGGCTCGCCGCTGCCTCCTTCATCGATCTATTTTGACGAATATGACGTGCGCGCGTATTGGGTGGGCGGCTGGCGCGCGTGGTATTATTTAATCTATTGCGCCGAGTCCGGAAAGTGCATTATGCAAGAGGAGACAAGCGATTAATTGTTTCGCGCGGCGATGTTCAACGCTCTTCTTCGATTTTGACGCGCGTCACGACCAGCAGCCTTGGCTTAATTTGATTACATCGCCAGCGCCAGCGGGAGAACAATCAGACGCGCGGAATCGACGCAATGAAATCGAAGCGATGTCAGTTTCCGCGAATGATCAACGTGAGCAAACAATGCGGAAAATGTTATGGTTGGATTCGGTAAATCTAAACGTTGATTCAATCTTTCAGTTACGATTTTCACTAATTTTTCCGAAAACATTGATCCCGGTACATTTAATCTAATATCTGTCCATAACTATGCAAAAAACGAAATTATCACACACCGCGTTTCACATTTTGACGATGCACATTTATTTGGGCAAAACAATCATCACGTGCATTGCCTACCTTCAGCGCTTGCTATAAATTGCAGAACAATCATTGCAGAATTGCACAATCGCACAATCGATTCACCGTCTCATCAAACCTGACGCCCGCAATAGACCAGACAACATTGTAACTACTTGGGACGCAGTGAGAGGTGAAATGCGTAATTACACATTCCCGCATTCGGAATTTTACAATTATCAAAATGGCCGCTTTGAACGCACCGGATGCACTGACAGAATGCACATGAGATGCGTTTCATTTCCAACCACGTTTTGATAACTAATGCTCCATTTCATGCAGAACGATGCGTTGAAACATAAAAATAGTGATTTGTAAGTTATATTTTGTTTATAATAAGACATAAGAAGATATCATTTCCTTTTATTGCAAAACTATTAAAATTATATTGAAAAGATGTAAATTTTATTATGTGCGATATCTCTGAAGTTCAATGATAGAGAATCGGATAATATAGTCCGTAGGGTAAACAACAGCAAATGATTTCCGAGTAGATTTACGCCGTGTGCGTGCTCGGATTAAAGGCCTTGCAGCCGTCAAACCTCTGCCGCTCTCCTACGCCGCTCCCGCTTTCAAACCGAGTATTTGCCGGCAGGGCAAAAGCGCATTGACGCCCACGTCGGTGTCGGCGCGAAACGACATCGGAATGCAAATTAAAGACACCTGCCTATAGCCCATCCCAACCAACCAGAAGGGACTGCCACCCTACACTCTGATCTACACTCTAACAAAAAACCCATCAATTTGATTCTTATACCCATATTTAAAAAATCATTACATTTATCACTTTTATAAATTAAGTAAAACAACTTTGAAGGTTGTAAGATTGTAAAGTGAACGAGTGAAGCGAGTATAAAGTAAGGTAACGTTAAGTAAGTTGCGAAAATGCAAAGGGTGAAAGGCGAGCAGCGAAAATTGGATGCGATCGTAATGGGCGACGAGTGGCGGTGACGAAATCCTCTTTACTTTGATTCGATTCACGCGCGCGACGCCAACTACGACGCTCCTCTACAGCTAATTCGATAAAAAGCAACCAGCCGTGCAGTGCTTTCTTCCTGCGTCCTTTCTTGGCGTACGTGTTCTTGTTTGCTTTTTCTACAATTCAAACATTTCGGATGTACTTTTAACGTTACAAAGTCTACATCCACACATTTGTAGTAAAAACATTATCAAAATAATAAGAAACAAGCTGTTTACATTAAGAAATCCAATACGCAAGATAAATATTGAGTTAAATATTGAGCTCCTGTTTCGTAACATTTTCGATGTTGCAATGTCGAAATTTGTTGTTCGTGAATCACCTACGGATTGCTCTTCAGCGTCAGCTTCGAGGGTCAGTCTCAACACGAGAATGCACTACGCTTGATTAGTCGTGCTTACGTCTAGGACTACGATGGCGACGTCGCCATGGCGGTGGCGGCCCCGTCTTGATAGATTGCGGCCTACATTACGCGAACGCGCGCGTAAACGAAACCGAGGGGCGCTTTTATTTATGTAATCGCGCTCCCGATGGTCCGTTTATCGTCTTGTTTGCGACGCCGTCGCCCGCAGACAGCTCATTTCTATGTGCATTTTTGATTTGATGCGAGCCAATCTAATCCTTTTAATCCTTCAGACTGCACGACTTTGGTCGACGTAACGCACGTAACGCGCTTGGAATTAGTTTTTGCACTTAACTCAAATACTCATCATGTATGTATATGGGCAAAGCAAAGACATTGACATTCAAAAATTATTCCATTTTTTTTAACATTGAGGATATTTTTAGATGTATGATATATGTAGTTGTTGTAGGTATAGTTGTATTCGACTGGTTGGAAAATGGCGAATGGTGAGAGGGAAATTGTTGCGTTGGCGAACGTCGACATTTATCGGGGGACGCGCCGCGCGCCTGCAACAGATATGTGGCCGACCGACGTCACCGCCGTCGTCCTGCCTGCCGCCGCCATTCGCAATCACTGTAATGTCCAAACCATGTTCGCCGCCGTCCCCGCCAAGCTTAATGCTCCCGCTGAGATTCGCTCCGATTGGATTTTCGATCGTTTGTTCATTTGTAACAACCATTGGCAGCAACGTTCCATTCATAAAAATTAAGAAAGAACAGTATTATATATTTTTAATTACTCAGCGTGTCCAAAAATTGATGTATTAAATAACATGAAGATATGAGATTTTTTGAATGAAATTTTACACATTGTAAGAGCGGACTTACAACATAGGCAACTTATTATACACACGTATTAGAAATAGAATTAGAGTATGAAAATTGCCTATTTTTAAAACATTTGTATTTCTCCTGAAAAAACTAAGATTTGAAACTGTTTAAATGTAATAGGTTACTCCTCATCAAATATTTAAATTGTTTTATCAATAAATTATTGTTTTATATAGGTACAATTATCTTTTTTGCACTTTATGTCAACTTAAATTGAGAAAAAAATCTCGATAATTTACGTATTAAAATTTTAAATAAATATTTGTTATGTACTATTATAAATTACTAATATTTTTCCAGGAATATTTTAAGTTGTTTGAAATAAATTACTTGTAGTGGTAGTGGTAGTCGGCCTGCGTCAAATCGCTAGGTTACCAGTGCGGCGCCCGAGCAGTTGTCCCGTGCGAATCAGTTGTCTGCCGTTTTCCTCCTTTCTTTTCCCGATTTTTTGCGTGACGATCATGAGTGAGGAACCGAACGTATCGCCTGAGGTCGTCGAGCAGGCCGAGAAGCTGAAGAACGAAGCAAATGATTACTTCAAAAGTATGTAGACATCCGCTCACGCTGATATTGACTCCTCTAACCTATCGTACAACCGGAAAAATGAAATCATTGCTTTTCAGAACAAAACTACAACACAGCAATAGAGTATTACACCAAAGCAATAGACCTTAACGCAACGGTCGCCGTGTATTTTAGCAATCGGAGTGCTGCTTACCTTAAAACAGAATGCTTTGGCTATGCACTCTCAGATGCATCCAAAGCTATTGAGCTGGACAATACCTACATCAAGGGCTTCTATCGCCGCGCCGCTGCTCACATGTCTTTAGGCAAATTCAAGGAAGCACTGAGGGACTTTGAATATGTGACAAAAGTGCGTCCAAACAATAAGGATGCTAAACTGAAGTACAATGAATGTAACAAAATTGTTAAGAAGATTGCATTTGAGAAGGCAATTGCAGTGGAGCACAACAAGAAGAGCATTGCTGATAGTATAAATTTAGATTCTATGAGTAAGCTTTCATCTTTTATATTATTTTGTATAAATTTTGTATTTATTGTGTGTTGCTTCTGTAGCAATTGAAAATGACTACACTGGTCCTGAATTGGAGGATGGTAAAGTTACCCTTAAGTTTATGAAGGAGTTAATGGAATTGTACAAGAGCTGTGGCAAGTTGCACAGGAAGTATGCATTTAAGATATTACTGGATATAAAGGCTTACTTCATGGAGCAGCCTTCACTGGTTGATGTGCCTATTGGAGATGATGATAAGTTTACTGTTTGTGGTGATATCCATGGACAATACTATGATCTCATGAACATATTTGAAAAGAATGGACTGCCATCATCTACAAATCCCTATGTATGTAATTTTTTATACAATTTTCCTTTTTTTTTTCCTTTTAAATGTTTGAAAAAAATGTTTTTTTGTGTTTTTCAGTTGTTTAATGGAGATTTCGTCGATCGAGGTTCGTTTTCCGTTGAATGCATCTTCACTCTTTTCGGTTTTAAGCTTCTGTACCCCAACAACTTCTTCATGTCGCGCGGTAATCACGAAAGTGCTACGATGAACCAAATGTACGGCTTCGAGGGCGAGGTTAAGGCGAAGTACACCTCGCGTATGGCCGACCTCTTCACAGAGGTATACAACTGGCTGCCTTTAGCGCACTGCCTCAATAAACGCGTGCTGGTTATGCATGGCGGATTGTTTAGTCGTGACGATGTTACGCTGGAGGAAATTCGTACTATCGAACGCAATAGACAACCGCCTGATGAGGGCCCCATGTGCGAATTGCTGTGGAGTGATCCACACCCACAGGAAGGCCGCGCGCCGAGTAAACGCGGCGTGGGATGCCAGTTTGGACCGGACGTCACCAAGCGCTTCCTTGAGCTGAACAAGTTGGACTACATCATTCGCAGTCATGAGGTTAAGAAAGACGGTTACGAGGTGGCGCACAATGGAAAATGCATTACTGTGTTTTCTGCTCCAAATTATTGGTGAGAATATAGTTATTTTTCTGTAATTTTGTAAATTTTATATTGTTGATTCTTGCAGTGATACAATGGGAAACCTAGGAGCATTTATCGTTCTGAACGGAAAGGAAATGCTGCCTCAATACACCACATATGAAGCAGTTGTAAGTTTTGTGATTTATCACAATGTTTTGATATATAAACGATGTTTTTTTTTGTTTCAGCCTCATCCGGATGTGAAACCAATGGCCTATGCGTCCTCACTGCTCAGCATGATGTGCTAGTACCCACACCGCAGCACATCGTCCTTTATTTAGGTTCATAGATCAATTGCATAACAACTAATTTCCCAAATACTTAGTCGCAAATCGTGTTTAGCCCGAGATGGCCATCGTCGGTTTGTTTGTTTTGTTTTTCTTTGTTTTTTTTTTGTTTTCTTACGAAAATCTCCGGTGATCATTCTATACGTCACGTACTTTCGTAACTGATACGGAATTACTAAAACCCCAATGATTTAAATCACAGATGATGAATTTAATTACTTGATTAATTCATAACGAAAAGTCAATAGTGAATTGTGAAGGTGTGAAAAATTGAGTTATGGGTACTTTTAGGACCAACTACGAGTATATCACGAGGTATCAACTAAATGAATATTGTTAATATGCATTAATACATTATATAAAGAACATTTTAGACCATAGCTTCCTGAACTTTCGTACGCAACTTTTTTAAAACTTGAGCAATATGTTTGTCTACGATTTGAAGGGCAGTTACCATCGTTTATTATGAGTACAAAAATACAATCATACAAAATCGCAAAAATTGCTATAATTAACATTAACACATAATATTAACGCATTGGCACGTTTTTTGTTTTTTGACGTTAAGTTTTAATTTTAATTACGAACACATTGAATTTGATACTTCTGCATTGCTCCGCCGTCAAATTAATTAATGGTATTCTTTATAGTATATCTATGTACAAATACGCGACTCGCAGTAGTGGCCTGCAGGTCGCTTAATATGGCAAAACATAATTTCGTTATTAAACGCTCGCGTACAGTGTGCATATTCCATAAACGTAAAGGAAGGGATTTGATGAGACGATTTTCGTTTCTTTTTCTCATTAATGAATAAATTCGGACTAGTTACAAAAAGGATAATTTAATTAGGGCCGGAATTAAATCCGATTGGAGTCGACGTCCGTGGACTCCTCGAATGGCGTCAGCTTGCCGGCCTTCGCGCACGAAAGGCAACAGAAGCGCGAGTAGTACTGGTGGTTACATAAGTTGTTGCGAACAATGATGTTGCAATTCGCCAGGAATGGATTATCCCTACACGATGGAGGAATATACGGACCTAAAGACACGTAAATGTTTGAATATGTTAGATATTATGTTTATAATACGTACCACTCTTGACGGTAACTGTAGCAGAGCCACTATGTTGGCTGTAGACATTGGTCGCTTCACACTTGTAGGTACCCGCATCATCGCTGGTAATATTCCGGATCAGTAATCGATTGGTTTCGGTGATTTCGTAGTGCGGAGAGCGTTCCAGCCTCTCATCGTCCTTGAACCACTCCACCCGCGGTACTGGATATCCGTCAACATCACACGAGATGCCCACGTCGTGTCCTTGGCTTGCGGATGCTTCAGTTGGGTTGACACGTACCACAACAGGAACTACAAAAGTCATACACTTAAATTCAACTCTATAACTTCCATAGTGTTGTTTTGTTAAACCACCACTTTTACATGCTCTTCATCTAAATAAGTTATTAATTACAATTCATGCAATATCAAACCTTGATAGGTCCTTGGTGGCTCAGTATAAACTGGTGGAACGTATGCAGGTTGATGTGTTGCAACGTGTGCGTATTGACCATATGGAGGATAGTACGGAGATTGCGTGGGTTCTATTCTTGATGGGGGCTGGTCAATCACGTATTGCATGTAAATAGAGTCATCAGGGTTGGTGCTGTATACAGGACCTTGCGCCTGGACTGTCACGCTCCAACTGGCGGCTTTACCAATACCATTGTATGTTTGACAAGTGTACACGCCCAAATCATGTAATTCCACTTTGTTGATAAGTAGGGAATAGTCCTTGCGTTGCTCGTACTGACTGGTCTTGAGCGGGATTAAAGATTCATTTCTCCACCACGTGACCGTGGGAATGGGGAAGCCGAGGGCATAGCAGTTGAGCACGGCTGGCGAGCCCAATCCAACAGTGACTGCACGCTCTTCTTCTGGGACGTCTAATAGACCCGCTTCGAAGGGTACACCATCTACTCATTTGTTAGTTTACCCACAACCACGAAACATGCGCATGTTAGAATTACATACAATTAAAACAAACACCAACTAAGTATTACTAATATATTGAACGTAGAATAAAACATACCTGAAACGGTGAGTTCCACTTGGTTCTTAATCTTTGGACCCACTGCATTATCAGCTGTACACAAGTAAATGCCGCTGTCGGTGCGATGCAAGGTAACAATTTGCAAGTTACCATCAAGAAGAAGACGGTAACGAGGTAGTTTACCATCAATCTATACAATAAATTTGTCTTTAATAATAGAAACAACCAGGAAAAAATGATATTGTTACTTACAATAAGGTTGTCTTTGCTCCAACTGATTGTCGGATGTGGATTACCACGTACAGAACAACTCAACGTCGCAAAATCACCCTCTCTAGCAGTGACCGCCGGTTCATATGAGTCTTCATCGATTACTGGAGCATATTCTAAACATTTTTAATCATTAAAGCAAATTAAAATAATACCATTAATAAAGTCACTTACGTCCTGCTTCAATCGGTGGTGCGGTGTACGCAGGCTGGTAATGCGTGGGTACCTGGTGTTCACTAGGTTCATCTGAATGAGGTGGCACGCAAGCAGTACCACATCCGCCAGTTAAACAACATTTAAGATCTAAAATACAGTCAGCGTCCGAACGGCATTCTTCATTCGTTTCGCAATCTTCATTTGACCTTGGTGCCAATTGAGGACAGATACCACGTTTATTCTCTGTAAACATTTACTTCAGTTAAACCAAAGATCAATAATATATTTGCATTAATTACCTTGACGGCAAGTAGCAACAAAAGTATCATCCTCGTTTGTTCTTCGGTTGTGGTTTACATCAATACCGCAACGCGTTCCTGGTTCACAATAGACATCCTTGCAAGGATCATGGCATGAGCAGACTGTGCAACCGTTGTTGTCAGTACGTGCTTGGACACCATACGGACATTGCAATTCATGACAATGTTGTTGTTTAGCCAAGCAATCGCCTTCGGCCACTGGTATTTCGTTTTCTACATGATAAAAACACAATTAATAAATATTTACAAACCAATCAATTACTTAAATTAACTATTGGTGCATTTATAATATAATAAAATAAAATGCGGTGCGAATTGAAGCTGCAATTTATGCAACTTACGCTTCCGCAGATACGCATTGCAGGTGCGTACACAGTCTTGGAAACTATCGAATTGATTGAAGTTCCCAGCACATCCGGTGTAAACGAATGCGAGGCATTCACCACGAGCATTATCAAAGTACCACCTATTCAGTTGGTTACTGCAGCTGCCGACCTCCAACGGTAGCAGGCAAACCTCTTTGTTTGACAAACACAATCTCATTGATTATTAGTTTATATAATTTAAAATTTTGATATCTTACCTCCACTAGTCTTGTTGGGTTTGGTCTCGTCTCGTTTAATGCAGACATCTTGGCACTCCTGTACAGAACTGAAGCGGTTTCCATTGCCTTCGCACCCTCCGTAAGCAAATTCGTGACAGCTACCAGTACGTTCGTCATAGTAGAATTTAGAGAAGTATCCTCTGCATGTTCCTTGATCTGGTGGGAAGGAGCATACGTCCTGGCCTCTAAATGCCCCACATTGCCTCTCGCATTGTTCAATACTGGCATAACGATTACCATTACCGCCACAACCGCTGTAAGTGAAGGTCTCACAACGTTGTGTTTGAATGTTAAAGTAGAAGGATGCGATAGACTCGTTACAGTATCCAGGATCAACATGTTCATAACAGATTGCTGTGTCACTAGCAGGCGCTTGTGTGGCTGGTTCTCTTCCACCTTGTTTACAGCTCTGTTCGCATTCCCCAATGCTGTCAAAGCGGTTTGCGTTACCCAAACATCCACTATACGTAAACTCTTGACAGGAATTAGTATCGCGGTCATAGAAGACCTGAGCAAATTCACCGGCACAAGGTCCAACCACTTTGGGTAAAGTGCAAAGGTCTTGTGCATTTCCACACATTTGAGTACACTCCTCTTGGGTTTTGAAGTTGTTGGCGTTGCCTTCACACCCGCCGTACATGAATTGTTTACAGACTCCGTCGCGATCGTAGAACCATCTTGCTTCGGAGTCGTTTCGGCATGGACCAGCATCCGAAGGCAAGAAACATTTATCTGTGTTGAAGGGATGTTGTTGACTAGGTGGACGGCGGTCTTCTTCTCGATCAGGTTGGGCATATGGATCATAAGGTGGTGGTGGTGGAGGTTCAGAACGTTGGCATCTACCAAGACATTCTTGTTCCGTGGCAAAGTTGTTACCATTGCCAGCACATCCACCGTAGAAGAATTGACGGCATTGTTTTTCTGCTGTGTTGTAATACCAGCGCTCTTTGTAATCAGCACAGTCACCGATTTCTGCTGGGAGGTGGCACATGTCTTTTTCTATAGAAACATATAATTAATATGGTAACAAAAACTGATTAGGTGCAACTGAAAAAGTTATTATTTGTTCTGAGTTAGTATGTAAACATGCACTTACGAATCTCTCTCGGACAATCAGCTTCGCATTGATCTTGTGAGATAAAGTTATTTCTGTTACCCTCGCACCCAGTGTAATAGAAGGGCATGCAGCGTTTCTCCGACGCATCGAAGTACCACCTAGAGTCTCGCCCTTCACAATTGCCTTGCGCTCTCGGCAACGCGCAGTGTTCTAATTAGTAACCAAAAAGACCCAAAATCGTGCAAGGATTAAAATTAGTATTTTCTACACCTCAACCAATTCTAATAATTAATTTAAATTAACAAACATACCCTTCTTCCTGTTGGGTGCAGCACATTGTTGTTGACACGCTTGCTCGGTAGGATAATTGTTGTTATTGCCTTGGCACCCACCGTAGTAGAACTGATCACACGTGCTTGTCTCGTTGTTATAATACCAGCGCAGGTATTGTCCTCTACAAGGGCCTTCTTCTTTAGGCTGGTCACAGGAATCTATATTTGAATCAACCACGCATTCTTTGATGCATTCCTCGCTGGTCTCAAAGCGATTATTATTGCCCAAACAACCGCCCCAAATGAATTGAGCGCAGTGATTACGTTCTTGGTCATAGAACCAACTTGGATTGTAACGTTCACATCCGCCGGTGACTTTGGGTAGTTTACATCTGTCACGTCCTTTGGGTTCAACGCAGGTTTCGCTGCACTCCTCCATTGTTCTAAATCTGTTTTCATTACCTTCACAACCTCCGTAGTAAAACCGTGCGCAGCCGCCATAATCCTGATCGTAGTACCATTTAACAGAGAAGTTCCTGCAAGGTCCATGTTCTTTGGTCTGCCAACATCCGGCTTGTTTGTTTTCTGGTTTCTCTTCACAACCTTCGAACTTCTCTCCCTTGGCTTCAGTGACACCATCCATGCAGCAGCCAA